TGACTGACGATTTTCTGTGACGATAAAATTGAAGAAATTAAACAGCAGTTTATTTGATAATTACTGTGTAATCAGTAATTAGTTACCGCATTTCACCTCTGAAAAAAAAAAAAAAAAACAGCTGCACTTTTCTAGTTTGTCCCTATTGTTTACTGAAGTATTTTACCGCTCTTATACGTCTGAAACGTTACCATATTGCAGTAGAGGTACAGTAACAAACAGCTCTTCTTGCTATTCTTGTCAACCACTGTATTTGAATTTAGTTTGTCACTGAGTTGTACTGCAAAGTCGTTTGCAAAATCTGTTCAGACCGTCATCTTGCTACCTGAGGTGTAGATTTTGTTCCTGAGCGGCAAGCAGATGTTGACCAGTCCAGAAGTACCGACATCTTATTCCTGTCTTGCCCAAGGTGCTGTTAAGTATATCAATATCAGCTACAGCTTTTTTGGATGAAGATTTTTTCTTTTCAGGGGCTTTTAATTTTAATTTTGCTTTTTTTTTTTTTTGTTTTATTGACGCTTTCAATAATTTATTATAGTGTAACTGTGTCTAATGTAATAGTTAGCAGGTTGATAGTAACCTTTATCACAAATCATGTTACAAAATACAAACTGCTCACATCATACTATAATGCTCAAGCTGATACTATATTATACCACAAAAACTATAACCAGCATGTATACGTGTTGTTTAGGGATTTAAAGTTTGAAAAGATATCTTTTCAACCATTTAGATATCTAATTTTTACTGAATTTACTAACGAACTTTTTTCAAGGTTGGGAGGTAGGGTATGGAAGTTTACATATTGTGATACACATTTTTTGGGTTTAGGGAATTATGGCACAATAGAACTGCTGTATGCGACAACGCTTTATGCAGGCAGCAGCATTTTTCTGTAAAATCTACGTAATTGGGGCTAAAAGGCGCTTTATTAGTGTTGATTTTGTTGGTAGTAATTTTAGTAAAAAAAACGCTATTTGGTTGTCCTGTAATGGATTTGTAAACCTTTTCACTGTTGGTTTAACCAGTGAACGAAGCAAAGAAGGACGACGTAAAAAGCGTAATTTAATTATTGTTTGGTGCAACAGAATTAGAATATCCACTGAATTGGTGAAAGTGGTGGAATTTTTCATTTTACTTTTCTATTTTTCAACAATATTTCGGCGCATCGATTGCAATGGATATAAAACGTATAAATAATAGGAATAACATTAATTATAAACTTTGTACAGTTATTGGATTTGTTGCCCTACTGTCATCTCCGTTTTGGATGCGTCAAAGCGGTTGCCACATATAAAGCTGTCTAAATGGTCACAACGACGGCTTGGGAAAGGAGAATGCTATTTTCTTTTCATTCTTCCTATTAAATTTTTTGTTAAGTCCAAAATCAGACTGCTGTGATTGAATGCCTGTTTATGAAAACTTTTAGTTGAAAAAAAAAGTTCCTATCATTGGAACATGAGTGACTGCACTATGACAGTTCTATTCTATTCAAAGCTTCCTCTTCTTTTTCTTCTAATTTTTTCGTCATTGTTTCGAAAAATACACATTTTTTATTTATCAAAATTTCCAGCAGATTTTATTATTTTGGTGTGTTAAAGATCGACTTTATTCTGATGTATTTGGGAAGTTCAGTGGAGCAAAGAAAACAAAGCCCATATTTTTTGCCTAGTTTTTGGTGGGATTTTACACGTCTGAAAGATACATAGCTTTGTCGAGCTCTTAGCAGTTAGTATTTTTTAATGTGTGTAGAACATTGCTTGTTGTGCTGATCGATGATCAACATTATGGTTACAGGACTGTTTACATTTGGTTGAGCAGAAGGCAACTTTCAGTAGGTGCAGTTTATTCGCTGAGGCGAAATGTATAGAATCATTTTGTAAAGAACACAAATTTGGCTTTCAGCAGTTTTAACGCTCTTAGTTTCACTTCTGTTTACCTTTTCTCCCTGCTCTTTTGCCGGTTTTTTTTTTGTTTTTGAAACGGTAGCGATCGAAGAACTGATGTGAATAGAAATGTTTATCGAACACAAATCAGTTATGAAAATCTAGTTGAGTCTGAAAAAACGAGAAAAAACAAGATTTTAATCGGCCTTTCATTTGAAGTGTAATTTTAAACCTAAATATTGCGCATCTTTTTTATTTGGTAATTGTTAACTGTGATTTTTTTTTTTTTTTGTTGAATTTAACAAATTAGTTGAATTTGGCTTTGGGCTTGTGGATGTGAAAAATCACTTCACTGTGTTTCCTTTGCAGAAAAAATTGTAACTTTCCCATATTGCCAAAAATTAGGAAATTTTTCGAGCAGGTACAGACCTAAAAATTTGTGATTTTGTTATTTACCACAGAGTTAAACACTTCTAGGATCACTTTAAAGAGCGTCTCTTTTACTTTTGAAACACTGTAATTCTAACATTGCTTATAAAAAGTAAAAGTAGCGCAGAATTTCTGGCGTCAAGTGAGTTAAAAAATGGTCAACCGTTGACCCATGTTTTGTGACGATAATTCCCGTTGTAGTATTCTTTCCATTGAGGCAAATACATTTCAAATGGCTAGAGAAAATGGATCAAAATTGAGGGAATGAGAGGAGGTCACGAAGAATACGGTGAGAAACAGTCACTAGTCTCTCCTTTGTTGGAGAATTGAGCAGCAACCCTGAGGCACTGTAGATGAACAGATTTAAAGCTGAAGGTATTGATGACAAGTTAGTTGCTGAAGCGAATGCGCGAGTAGCGAAAGACAACATTTCACCGCAGAGGTAACGTCACGTTCACCTTATCCAAAGTGCAACTTATCCCTTGCTTGGTGGTAAGCATTTCACATCATTTTTGTAACCCATGATGGTAATCTAAAATGTTCCAAGTTTTTCAGAACGATTCCAAATGTTTTTAAATTTGTACTGAACTAAAGAAGTATTAAATTTCTAAAGTGATTGGCTGGAATCAGTTCAGATTCGCCGCCACTCCAGAACGGAGTCTATTTTACTCAAGATAGGTCAGTGAAGTAACCTTCCGGTCTTGCACACACGATGCCACACGCTATAACTCAGCAGAATGGGGAAAATTTGAGATACGTGGTAAAAAAAAGGTCTGGTCCGCCGTCAGGTGGCGCAATCATATTCTAAGGTTTTCATTTTTTTTTTTCTTTTTTGGTTTCAGTGAGGAGTCTGTTGAAGATTAAGCCTCAGCAAGACGAGTGTTGTAGTTTAGTTGCAATTTTTTGCTTGCAGCAACAATTGTTCTAGAAGCGTCTCCTGAAAGAGTGAAAGAAAAATGAGTTTTGATGGTTGTTTTCATTACGGGATCTTCTGTTTATTTATGATTTTAGTAAGCAGAAGAATTAGATTTGAGAGAAGGTATAAAAGGCTTGCAGGCCTTCAGTAATGCTTTTCTCTCACTTCCAGATCACTGCATTTTAAATCTTTTTTGAAAGTACTGTGAAGACTTATTCCAAAAGGTCATTTGTCTGGCGAACAGTGTAGCTCTGAAAAGCTGACGAACTTTTAGATGTTTACGTGACAATCAGGTTAAAAGAGCAAGTCAAAGAAAGCGCTTTGAGAGGGGCTAACCATTGCATGAGGGATCCGGAAGTGCATGCCTACGGCTTTTTCAAGAAGAATCATTCCTTGTCCCAATAAATATTTGACCAGGAAAGTTGGCCATTAATGTTGGCAGTGTTAGAAGAGCGAACTGGTGATCGGTTGTCTCGATGACGGCCGTTTTTCCAGCAAGGCTGGCTCAGAAAGTTGGATGACTGATGGCTTAGTAGATAGGCGTCTAGCTACGGCTCAGTAAGAGCATTAATGCAAAATGAGTAAAAGCGAGTATTTAGGGAGATGAAAAATTGTTTGGGTCCGGTTTTGGTTTCTCCCTACGTGGAACTGGATTAAGGGCAGGTCAGTGCCGAAGTGAAAGCAGTTTATTTTAATCATAAACAGAGTGGTCGTTTTTTAGACAATACCTAGTCTTTCGCTGCAGTGTTTGACTCCCATTCTTTTTTTCGAACTGGCAGGCAACATCTCAATGAAACATACTATTTATTCTATCTCACAGTCAGAATGAAACAAGAGATTTTTCGAACTAGTAGCAGAGTTCAGGCTTCGCAAAAGTTGTAGTAATGGTTTAGATTTATTCACTTAAAAAAAATATCACTGTTAGCAGAACTAATTGATACGGACCTGGTCAGTAATAGCAGGGTTTTGGTTGGTTACAAAGTGGAAATTTGTGAGCGATTTCAGGTTGTATAAATTACTTGACCTTTTTTGTAATCCGTACTGTTACACATGTCAGCCAGCTGGAGTTGGTAATTTGAAAATGAAAAAACCGTGGAAGCAGTAAGTTCTTCTTCTAGCTCGAGTACTGTAGCGGACTTTTCGGTTAGATCTACAGGAGGATCTATTAGGTTGCAAAATGAAGAGATTTTTAAGTCTTCCAACTATTTACAGTTAACTCTGAGGAAGCACATTTGCCTTGAACTTGTATTTTAACCTCCCAGTATTTGCCGGACTGGTTCGAGTCGGTTATTTAAAAATTTTCTGTTTAGTTCTTCAAACTTGATGTTTGAAAAAGAAGTTTATTTTTGTTTATAAGTTTACGGGGTATAAAGTTACAGTAATTCTTTCTTTAAAATATTAGATAGCATTTGAATATAGTGAATATTCCGTTTACGTTCCAGTCTCATTTTAAATGAAGTTATTATTCAGATTATCTTAAACGATTTATTTGTGGTTATTATGAGATTGATTATGCTTAGCTTTCGGGAATTTTTTGTAACCTAAATCACCTGAAAGTTAGCGCTTTTTAAATATGCTATGTATCCGTAAATTTGTGTTTACTGAGACTGGGAAGAACTGTTGCGAAGAAACTTATCGCTAAGTAAGAATTTGTTGATGGATACTTTCACGTAGTTTTCGCTGATTTTTTCTGGCAGTTATCAGTTTATTTTAGAGTTCCGACTGAAAACAGGAGCAGCAGCTGGAGAGGTAGAATTGATAGGTTGAAAATGACCCATGTTCGCGATATGTCAATTTGGGTGCCACGAGTGGACGGTGGTTGGGGCTGGATCGTGGTACTTGGGTCGTTCTTGATACATGTATTCGCTGATGGTATTGTGTACTCGTTTGGAATTCTTCTCAACATTTTCATGACCGTGAGTTTGTTCGGCTTCCACTTTGTACCTTTTACTTTTAATGTTGCGTAGTATTGTCACACCTTGTTTGATTCGACCGAGACTATTGCTTGTAAGTTATCTGGTTATGGAAGTGTAGTCGTGATGGACTGGCCCTTAGCGTTCGCACTTGTCAATAGCTTTTTTGTCATCTAGTTTTTGATAGATAATGTCGCCCACCACACTTGCTGCAAAGGTCTGTATGTCTTGTTTTTCAGTTTGAAGGGGCGTAACTAAAAACAAGGTTTTCAGGAGTTCAATTCTGACAACGCAGAGACGTCATTGATTGTTGGACTTTTAGCAGGAATAACGTTGTCTGTCGGACCTATAGCATCAGCATTTGCTAATAGATTTGGTTGCCGTCTGACCACAATAGTTGGGTCGTTTATATCAACGCTTGGGTACGGTTTTTATTTGAAGGGCAGAAGGGTGAGAACGATAAAAAAGTGAACTTGACTGGATTTCAGATGCCTAGCTTCATTAAGGGCTACCTCGGTAAAGTACTTGTGGGTTTCAGTAGGATGTGTGATGGGCTGTGGAGCTGGATTCATGTACTGCCCAGCGATTATTATTGTTACAGTTTATTTTGAAAAGAAGAGGTATTTTTAAATTTCTTTTACTGTGCGACTTGAGTAACATTTTTCAGCCATTTAGAACTACATTTACAGAGCTATGGCAACAGGAATTGCTGTCTGTGGAGCTGGAGTAGGCACTCTAGTTTTTGCACCGCTCGCAGCAAAAGCTATCACCATATGGGGTTGGCATGGGGCTTTCTACCTCTACACAGGTATCACTGAATCTTTATATCCTGACTTACTTTTCAAACTAGAATGGACGCACAGTACGTAACATTTCAATTTTGATTGCTATTAAGCATTTCTTGCTTTCCAGTTGTTTTGATTCTTTGTGCCTTATGTGGAAGCACTTTCCGCCCATTGCCTTTCGTGAAAGTTGAGGATCAGGACAAAAGTATCGAAGAGAAGAAAGGAGAACTTAAGGCGGTTAAAGCTGATGTTAATGCAGGTGGAGATGTTTCACACAAGGTAGACTGGTTTTTATCTGGGGTTGGTGCGGCATTTAGATGAATGTATTTGAAAGCACTTGATTTTTCAAGTAAGCTTTTGCAGTAAACGGGCATCTTTCTGGATTATAGCTGTTTTAGAATGTGGAGGAAGAAGCTCTTCTTGACAAACAATCTCGTCCTTACCTAAGTCATACTGTGCTAAACGGCAATCTCGACTCTACTTTCAAAGAAGCTAAGAAGTCTAAGTCTCTGTTTGACATCAGTTCGCGTCCTACTGTCATGGAGTCTACTGGTTTCCTTAATATGAAGGTCTTGACTGCTAACTCGTTTGATGATCCTTTGAAAGGTGCAGTCCAACCATGTAGTTCTTATTTCAGGATGTTTTTTATACTGGATCTGTAACGTCTTTACCAAGAAAAAATCATGAGAAATTTCGATCTTTGACTATGCTGAAAGAAGATAACACAGCTTTAGATGGGGTTGCTGACAAGAATGCGAATGGATATGTTTCACAAGAAAGAAATAGAATGCGAGAAATCTTTAGGTCTTTAGCAGGCACCTTTTTTGTTGTTGTAGATGTTGACGGTACAATGGGAGTGGTATCTTTTAGGTCGTTGAATAAGATATTGGACTTAACACTACTAGCCGACCCTATATTCATGTTGTTTGCAATATCCAACTTTCTAACCAGCATTGGTTTTAACGCCCCGTTGATGTTTATCCCAGCCCATGCAGAAAATATGGGTGTGACGCCTGCAAATGCTGCGTACCTCTTGAGTGCTTTTGGTAAGTTACGTCTGCAGTCTTTGATTACGACCATATGCGTAACCTAACTGGCTCATTTTTTCAGGAGCTTTTAATACTATTGGTAGGGTATTGTTTGGTATTGTTTCGGATCGAAAATTACCCACTAAATTTGGTAAGGACGTCAAAAGGAATCGTCTCTGGATTTATATTGTGTCACTTTGCATTTGTGGAATGGTCACCTGTTTTGTATTCGTCTACAAGTCTTACATGAACCTTCTGGTAGGTTCATTGTCTTAAAAAATAACTCGCCAAGAAAGACTTTCCTAACATTTAGGTGTACGCAGCAATATTCGGCCTAACAATCTCTTCATATGTCTGTCTGACTTCTGTTCTTCTTGTGGATCTGCTCGGCTTGGACAAGTTGACCAGTGCATTCGGCATTCTACTCTTATTCCAAGGCTTAGCAACTTTCATTGGACCGTACGTGTCAGGTAATACCACTCCACTTTTAATCCCGTCTTTCTCTCCTCAACAAAATGATTTTCTAGGAAAGTTGGCAGATATAATGGACAAGAGTTACGACCTCACTTTCGTTTTTTGCGGCGTATGTCTTCTGATGTCAGGAGCGATGCTCTTCGCCATATACCCGCTCCGGAAACGGCAAAGACAGTCCGAAAACGTTAAAAAAGCAGATGTCCTATAGATTAATTTTCTGTACATAAAACTGATCTAAATGTGTAGAACTTTGGGTGAACATTGTAGAAAGAAATGGGAACCTTACTGCTTGTTTGTGACTGGTAGCATTGTAAATATGATCAATTTATAACAGCATTACAGAACATCTGTGAGTGGTTCTTACGGGTGCAGAAGTAAACTATTTTGCTAGACCGCTTTGGTCAATTCCATTGTCAACTGCACCACCTTATAACCTCTCAAGCCCTCATTGACGTTATCGCTCGTCCCACTTAAAAGAAAAAAAAAAACACGAGTAGACTTCGCCGAGATGTTTGGCACATCACCTGTGAGTGTACGGACTTTACTCTCGCTGAATTAAATAAAAAAAGGGTCAGTCCAAGAATAACAATGTCACACCACGTCCAACACAACAACTCAATACGTCATACCACAATACAAGACAGTGACTTAAGCAAACCTGCTTGCCTATGGCAACCAGAGGACAAGTGTTGTCAGTTGCTTAAGGCCCATCCAAAGTGGAACCATAGCTGCGTTAATAGCCCGACCGACCCCTTTGCAGCCTCCAACTAAAACACAATGTAGATAACTCACCCGACCTCAAACCGGTAGTGTCTGACAAAACGCCTCAAAGAAAAAAAAAATGCCCTTTATGCGGTGTATGCGAGAGGCTGTACACAATTAAATGGGTAAAAGTGTAAAGAATGAAAAAACTAAAACATTCCACCAAATTACAGAAGCAGATAAGAACCGATTGCTTTTTAAGAAAAGACTGCATCATAGAAAATATGTAACATCTTATCTCATCTCAACCTCCCCTTTCAACTTCTCCACAAGGGCCTCAAACAATCAGACGGCAACAGCCAAATTGAAGCCATCAGTCCTCCCGCAATGGTAAATAAACCTGTCTTATGGGTTTATTACACTCAGCTATCACGAGATGTATCCTATCGCCAGTACCAATTTCACGCTCTGCAACCATACGAAAAGCATCTTTCATTAATGAAGTTGCACGTTCAACAGTCAACGGAATCCTCTCCGTTTCATCTGACTGGGTGACTTGATTTATCTGAAATAAATTCTTTACAGTAAGACAAGTCCATGCAACAAACTAAAAAAATACATTCAACGATTTCAAGAACGCCGGTGCGTTCTATTCGCTAAAAAACAATCATTTTCAATTTTGCCCCTCAAAATTTACCACCTGCTAGAAGACAAGTGGCAACAATCAATCCAATTCTGGGTTCAAAAGACCCTTATTCTTTGAAACACAACTGATCACACACGATACGAGCACTTACTCGTATCCATGCACGAGAACGAGCGCAATACAGTTTAAGAACACCATTACCCTTCTTCATTTTCATTATTTTTCCTCAAATAATCACACCGTGTATTGATGAACTTAGGAAGAACCTGTACTGAAAATCCTTGAGAAGCTTACCGTCCGGAACCAACCTCAGGAAAGCATCCGGGAAATAATTTGTTATAAAGACTCTAACAGAATCACCTCCTCACCACTCCCCTTCCTCATAAAAATCTTTTGACGCTTGCCTTAGCCTCATTCTATGTTATATTAGCGAGCTAGAAATGAATTCGCAGGGAAACCGAAGCGTCCAAATTCAATAACGACTAACTTGACAATCAAAGAATGGGATAATTAATGGTTCTGCGCTTCCAGATGCGGTGTAAGTGACACGCTGTACACAACCAATAGGATCATAGCTAAACACGGCTCCATTTCCTGAATAAAATTTACGCAGTTGCACATGGCTCTTGCTAGTCCGTTTGTATAACAAAATGTATGTCTTCCTAAGTTTCAAATAAACAAACTGGACATTAGATTCGTTCAACCTCAATAACATTAAATGACCTCATCAGAAACAAATTAGTGCTGGGGAAAGAATCATGAACTACTATTTCTCTAAATACCCAAAAATTTTTCTATAATCTATTCTAGAATAAAAACTTTATTAATCTCCATCACCATTTTCATCTATACCAGCCAGAATAGCACCGGTGTAATAAGGGAAAAATCTCCGATAATAGAGATTTCGAGACAACAATTCAGCGCATAAGTCCACAGTCATATCTCCACGATAATCGAAACGATATTTATGAAGTCGCGCCTGAAAGTAATTTGGCTAATCATCATCAAAAAATAGGCAGGCGTACCCCGCAGCAAAAGTGAAACGTATCTATTAGCAAAGTTAAAATTCCCAAAATTATCACTTTTCACAAATGTAGGATTTGAGTGGAACTCAAAAAACGCTACAATAATTTCGTAATCTGTATCAAGATCTTATACCTGCAGTACTCGTCTTAGCTGCAGAATGTCGCCATAAAACCCGGCACAAGCGAGAATAATCGAATCATTCCTAAATGAACAAAATCGGTGACAAACACCAAAATTCTCCACAACTAAAGCTGGCACTCAAGTCTTCCAAACAAGTTTCAGAGCAGGACAACGCGAAACAAAGGAAGCCCCTTGCTGGAAGAAACGCTAATAGAGATTCAAAATTAAGCAAAAAAAAACAGCTTACAATACTGAGATCTTCTCAGCCTTACGTGTCAAAATGTTGATTTCAAACTGCGACATTCTCGTATCACTAGCAATTACTGCAAAGTTCTCGCCAGCTACTGCAGCGGTGGACCTGAAATTACAATTGTAGACAAGCGCATACATCAGGAAAAGACAAGACAGTCTCAAAAACCAAAAAAACGCCTTGCAACCCAACTTTTCAAAAAACGACACAGGCTGAACTTAACAAGTACAACAGACCACAAACTACAAACCCTCCTTCAAAACTGTAAGGATTCCAACTGTATGAGCTCTTCTGTCGTTCAGACAACCACGGTGGTGACTTCCTGACTAACTCCAAAGCATCTTTGAAACACTTCATTTCTTCCTTAAGACTGGAAAAAACCTTCGTCTCGCACATTTTCCTACAAAGTTTTCTGTTGGTTGTTTTGTATACGCGGATTCATTTCTAATTTGACGTGGAATCTTTCATGAACAAAATGTCCTTCCTTATGGAAGGAATTCCAGCAGCTTTTGCATAATGCCATTTCGCCATACAAACTTGCCTGATGGTTATTCGAGCTACCTTTTAAAAGGTATGCTAGACTTAGTCACTAGTGTTTATGACTTGTTACCTACCGTACAAATTTGTCAAATTTACAATTTCTGGGCTTCGTTGCCTTTTTCAGCCGAAATGTGTGAGTAGCTTTAAATTTCACATATACTTTTTAGCAGAATAACGGTAATATTTTTGTTGAATGCCCATATCTCGTGGCACTTGTTTCGGTTACTGTAATCTACGTTTAAAGTAATTTACAACGGTGTAGAGAAACGGTAAAAAAAACAAGTTATTCGAAACTGAGGTTCAGGAAATGAAAAGACAAAAAGTGCAGTCCCTTAT